GTAAGGCGCCTCCTCTTACTACGCTTACCCCCACGGGCCAAATCACACCCTGTGGAGGTCACATGCGTGCCCGCCAGGATTCCGAGCCGTTCCCCGAGACGACGAGCAGCATCGGGGTCAGAGGCAACAGTCATCAACTTGTCTGGGGCCAGGTCAACCCCGAGCTCCTGCGCGAACACTGCGCGGAGGTCAGTCGCGGCGCGCGCCAGCGACTCTATGACAGACTCCTGCTGTCCATAGCTGCTGACAGTGTCATCATCGATGTGCGACGACAAGTCGACGTCGGGGTTGCGCCCAACGAAGCCGTCGAACGGCTCCATCGCGCACGCTCGAACAAAAATATCGTTGAAGCACGATCCTGCAGGCAGTCCGCTGCCTGCGTACTGGACAGCCAGGCTGCGGTCCGCCCCGAGCCTCAAAATCCCCGGACCTCTCCAAACATTGAAAACCATTTTGGCGATGACGGGCTCCAGCCCCGCCGAAAACTTCTTTGCTTGAGCTTTTCCGAATTAAAGATTTCACACTACTTCGTGCCATCCCAAGGGGACCCAGCCGCGACTCCTCCCTTTTCAACATGGGCTTCCGCCTTCACCGCCTGGGCCCACACGCAGGCTTCCGCCGACTCCCCAGCCCCGAAGGCCCAACACTTGCGCGGGTGTGGCTCGTTCAGGGGGGCAAGGTAGGGACGTCGCAGCTTCCCCCGCAACCTCACAGGGGCAGAGCATGACAGGATGGGCCCCAACCCCCCCGTAGGTTTCTCGAGACGGGGAACAAACATTCAGTGCAGGGCCCTGGGAAACAATCCAAGGCGTTCAGACGCCTGAAAAATGCACGCCAAGGCGTCCAACCCCTCGCCGGACAAGCAGGCAAACTCTCGCACATGCACCCCATCCAGGGATTGCGCCGTGCGCGGCGAGAAGCTGCGCGCGGCGGCGCGGATCGCATCGGCACTGAGGCGACCTAAGCATCTCCCGCTGGGGACTTCAACTGGTGGGGGCGAAGAGGTAGCGCGCCAAAAGGTTCGCAAAACGTCGGCCTCCTTGGCCAGCAAAACCCTCGGGTCCAACGTAAAAACTCCAAGAGTTTTCTCGGTGACCGTGGGCTCCCATTTAGCCTTGGGTCGGGCAAGACGGCGCATCTTGCGAGCTGAGCCAGCGAGCGCTTCAGCTTGCCATTGATCCCACCCCTGTCGTTCCCCCCCTTCCAAGCCCGCCCTCGCCTCAGAGAAGTCCTCATCCCACTCCCCCAAAAGCTCGGCAAACTGGTCAACCCACTCGGCCAGTCCAGCCAGAGACCGCGGCCACTTGGCCAGCATGTCGCGGGCCTCGGCGACCGCAGCGCCAAGCCTAGGCGGCAGACCTTCAGCATCGAAGGGCTGGGTGATAGTATCAAGTATGGCGCGCACCGTTTGCACCTCGGATTGATCGATAATGGAACTCATCTGCGCAAGCAATCGTCGACTAGTGTTAAGCGCATCTTTAATGTTTTGCTGGAGCCAAACCCACCCCGACCAAACGCGAATCTCATCATTTTCCTTTCTCCTCGGGGGAGTCAAAACCGAGGCCCCCATTCTTGCGAATGGGGGTGTCCAACCTACTCTCGAGCTCCCTCCCCATTTCATCCGAGAAAGTTTTCCTAGCCACGCCCAGCGCAACCCAACCTTTACTGACGTCTTGGGCGGCAGCGGCAAGGTTGGCGTGCTCTGACTGGCGGCGCGCCTCGCTCCAGTCACTGGGGCGGCTACGCGGCCCATAGGGGAGGTCCGTGGGCGGCCCCTGGTGGCTGGCGTAAACCAGTTGATGCAATTTTGCCGCCCCTGGCCTGAGACGAAGCAGAACAGGTCGATGGGGCCTCTTGCGCCATTGGGTATCCACGCGCACCCCCTGCACCAGCTTACTTAAGGCCGTCGAGGACACAAAATAATCGACGGTGGTATTTGCCTGCGGCGTCGCGCGTGTCGTCGCATCGGGCTGCATAATGAGCATTCCCACTCGGCGAGGCATGCCCGACATCTCCAGGCAAGCGGAGTCGAAGTTCCAATCAGCTCCACGCATGGCAAGGTGCCGTCCTTCCATGGTCTGACCTGCCATCCGTATGATATGTAGGTTCCGCTGACTGAGTCCCTCCCCCGTATGCAAATACGCACCGCCAACAAGTAAATGAGGCCACTGGGGTATGTCCACCACGGCAAACATCAATATGTGAGGTATGAACATGCCGCGAAGAAGAACATCAGGCCATCGCAAACCACCTGCGATTCTGGCAAAGATGGCCAATCCTGCAGACGTCAGGCCTTGCGCGCAAACTACAACAGGCGAGCACAAACTGTTCCATCCCAAAACCTTAGCCGAACAAGTGCACATTCCGAAACGCTTTTCCGTGATCCCCACTTCTGGGGCACACACCACTAAGGCCGTAGATGAAGCCAACCTCTCCTCAAGTGTGCCCCAGCTGCTCCCGTTATAGTTTTCAAAAACATGCGCGGTGTCCACCCCCTGCTGCCGCGGGGCGGGTCTGGGCGGACGTCCTACCCCATGAGCAGCGAGTTTGAAACCAATGCTGAGCGGTAACACTGCATCGCTCACGTCCCGCGAGCACGGGCCACACGGGCCGCCCGACGGCATCTGAAAAACGTCTGCGTAGGTATCCGAACAAATCTGAGACGGGAAGCAAGAGCTCCGTCCAAGACTCTTCTATCTGAGCCTACCGATGGGACACTCTTTCCAAATGCTGGAGGAGTCTGCGCTCTGTTGCGCAGGCGCAGCACACGCCTTCGGCCCTCGCTTGCGATTGCAGCAGCGGCGGCAAGGCAAAAACCGTTCCGAGATCGTTGGCGGCCTTGGCGAGCCAGCAACCAGGCGCACGCCCTGGACGAGCAGCCATCGACTCTTCCGTCTGATGCCCTGGACGGGCCTGCTGAGCTAGGAAGCGCACACCGTCGGGAACTTTGGGATAGCGTGTCGCAGCGGTGGCCCCGGCAGCACGCTGTGCCTCACAAGCGGATTGCGTGTCGTTCCGCTCCGAGCTGGACGCGTCGCCGCCGCCCACGCGCCGGCGGTGCTGCTGCCGTTTCTGGTGGGCCTCGATCTTCCTCGTGGGCGTGAGGAACGCCACCTGGCTGCCCCGCGAGAAACAGGACGGCTTCCAGTCCTCGGGGAAGGATCCTTTCATGACCGACAGGTTGCGGAAGACGACGAGGTTTCTCTGCAGGCCCTGCCGATTGCTCCAGCTCACGGTGGACGCCTTCAGGCCCAGGATCTTCACGGACCACGCTTGGAAACCCTGGAAGCAGCGCAGGAAGCGGGCAGCGACCTCTGAAGTGAGAAAATCGAAAAAGCCGTACCGAGCGCCTGACCAGTTCTGAAATCCCTGGGCAAATACACGGGGTGGAACTGCCCACGGTGAGAGTTGGTGGCTGTCATCACCCTAACTCTGGAGTGAAGACAGGAAAAAGGCTGGACATGTCCGTGGAGCTCCAGGGCTCGCACGGACATGTCCGGCGTGAGCAGATGCGGCACGTTGCGGAGCTGGTCCTCCTGGTGCTCCTGCGAGCGGGAGAACGTCTTCTGGATCACGGGCGCAGCATGCCTGGCCTGGCCTGCCATGGCGCGGCATGGCCATGGGCCCTGGGTTCCCCGACGCGGAAGCGGGCGGCAGTGGCATTGGGCCGACATGGCTTGGGCCAGAGTGGCCACGGGGCCCTGCCTGAAACAGGCATGAAGCCGGATTAGGCTGGATGTGGGCCAAGGGATGTGCAGGGCCCATGCTGGATTCAGCCTCGCAAGGGCCGCAACCTCAATAAAGAGGGAAAGGGCGGCCCAAGAAATCCGCGCGGGCATCCGAATCATTGCTTACGCTGTTCACTGACTTCTGTCCATTCAGCTCGTGGGCGAAACACATCTCCGTATCCGCGGCCTCGCGGGCCGGGCCCCTTGGCCGCGACCCCGCGAAAACGGGGCGCTTGTTCGCGGATGCCCCGCGCAGAACGCACCCGTGCTACCGCGCATCCGCGGGATCGCGTTCGCCGCTCGTGGGTAGCAGACCCGGAGGGGCCCTCGAGGGAGCGGCGGCAGGTTGGGCCGTGGCTCTAATCACCCTTCTCGCCATCGCTCGGACGTCCATTTCCCATGCATGTTACAGCTTCGTGCGTGCATTCTGTCGTAAACTGACCCCAGCTGCTCCTCGATGGCCCTTCCCGGTAACAGACGTACACGTCCGAGCGATGCCTGGCTTCAGCCCCCGCGGCGGCCAGGTGGACCCTCCGATGACCTTCCGCCTGCAGGGCGAGGCGAGGGCCCGCAGCCCGCGCAGGCTGCTCCGAGCTCTGGGCCTCCACGCTCCGTCCACGGTCGAGGATCTCCTGACCCGGGTCAAGCCAACCTCGGGCCACCCAGACCTCGCAGCATCCTGCAACATCCTGCAACATCCTGCAAGACCCGGCACCAAAGCCCGGGTCGATGCGACCATGGCTCGGCAGGATCCTGCAATATCCGGGGGTCTGACTGACCCCGTTTGCATGGACCCCCGTCTCGAGGCCCCCGACATGGCCCCGCTTTTGATGGGGCACCGGGCGCTGCTCCGTGGGGGGGCAATACACGGGGGGGAATCCTGAGATCCAATGTCTCAAAAGTTGAGAAGCCGTGAGAAATCGAGCCTGGAGCCCTAGACCCCATCTTTCTGCGCCATGTTTCGAGCTGGATGGGTCTGCTCATGCGAAAACGCCCGGCTCGACAAAAATTGAGTCGCCAGGATCTCAGGGAAGACAAGTGCACGGGCCCCTTTGCGCACGGGCCCGCCCCGAGACCACGCCGCTGGCCCAGGGCGAGGCACACGCCGCGAGGCCGCACGGAGCCAGCGAGGACGAGCGAGGAAAAGCGGGCGGGGCCGCCGGCGGGGGCGCCGGCCCGAAAGCCGCAGCGGCAGCGGCGGCGGCAGTGGAGGCGGCGACGCGGCGGCGGCGACGCTGCGGCGGCGGCAAAGCGCCGACGGCGGCGGCGCGCCTGCCGCCGCCAAAGCGGGCCGCACCAGCTCCGCCGTGACCGAATGGACCGCTCCAGCGCCTGGCCGGCGGGGGGGGGCGGCGCCCGCCCCAGACCCCGAGGCGCCCGCGCTGAGCGGCGGAGGGCGAGCTGGCACTGCTCCCGCCCTCGGCGGCGATGCGGCATCTTGCCATCGCTCGGACATTCAGTCTCCCATGCATGTTTCAGCCTCGCGCGCTGATTTGTCGCACGATGCTCCTCGATGGTCCTCGCCAAGAAAAAAACACGTCCGAGCGATGCCAAGGCATCGGCGTGCGAGGCGAGCACCGGGACGCGCGAGCTCAGATCGCGGCGAGGGATCGTCTCTCTTGCGACAGATCGCTCGCCGACATCACGAGACTTTCCGACGACAACACACGACACGAGACTGGCAAGCGCGCGCCCCCTGCTATCGCTCACCTCCCGCTTTCGCTCGCCCTTCGCTTTTGCTCGCCTCCCGGCTTCGCTCGCTTTCCAAATTCCGCTCGCCTCCCACTTCCGCTCGCGTTCCGCTTTCGCTCACCTCCCGCATTCGCTCGCCTACCACGTTCGCTCTCGCCTCCCGCTTTCGCTCGCCTCCCACGTGCGCTCGCCTCCCACGTTCGCTCGCCTCCCACGTTCGCTCGCCTCCCGCTTTCGCTCGACTCCTGCTTTCTCTCGGCTTTCTCTATCGCCTCCCGCTTTCGCTCATCTCCCATGTTCGTCCCTCACTGTCGCTCGCCTCCCGCTGTCGCTCGCCTCCCGCTTTCGCCTCCCGCATTCGCCTCCCGCTTCCGCTCGCCTCCCGCGCTCGCCTCCCGCTTTGACCCCGTGTCGTGAGTCCGTCCCGTCCGTCGCGAATCAGTCGCCTCTTGTCGTGGGAAGAGCCCTCTTCTGATCGCGGCCCCTCGCGTGCGGCGCTCGCGCTCGGGCTCGGGCCAGGGCCATGTCCTCCCTCATGGGCGATGAGGGCAGGCCAGGGCGAGCGGCGGAGGAAGAAGAGGAACGATAGTAATACAAATAATAATGGCAAGGGACTTCATAAAACCACCCCGAGAAATAATACGAACAATCAGAGGAACGACGATAAGACTAGCAAGAGTAATACTGATAGTTATAACAATATGAAATGCCATCACTGCTACTACCAGTAATAATGATGATAGAAATAATACGGATAATACGAATACTAATCATCATACTACTAAAACATAATAACAATAATGACGAAGACGAACGTGACAAACCATAATGCCATTACTGGTACTAGAACGACGAAGCATACTAATCAGACTAAGGAGAGGCAAGAAATCGCACGCGCGAGAGCACGGCGACCCTACGCAGTGGCCTGCGCACGCGGCCGGCCAGCGCGGCACGCCAGCGCGGCACGCCAGCGCGGCACGGCGCGTGGAGGGAAACGGGCGCTTCCGCGGGCGGCCTGCCTGCGCGGGTAGCAGGCGCGCTAATGCACGCGCAATCTGTCCCCTGGACTCTGGGGGCACGGGCTCGGACTCGGAGGGGGCCCTCTGCGGCCAGACCAAGGCACGCATGCTCTTGGTGTCCGCTCTCCCGGGATCCGCCTCCGGGAGCGGCGAAGGCCCGCGCACCTGGACTCAACCAGTCCTCCCCCGCCCTTTTTTCTGTGCTGCCTGGCCCCCCATCCAGGTCCCTGCTGCAGCTGCTTGTGCTGGTGTCAGTGTGCTGTTCCTCCTGCTGCTCCTCCTCCTCCTCCTCCTCCTCCTCCTCCTCCTCCTCCTCCTCCTCCTCCTCCCCCCTCTCCCTCTACTTCTCTCTCTCCCTCTTCCTCTCCCTCCTCCTCCTCCTCCTCTTCTTCCTCCTGCTCCTCCTCCTCCTCCTCCTCCTCTTCAATATCTCTCATTTCTCTTCCTCAACCTCTTCAACGTTGTGGGTCTATCGACGCCTCGCCTGTGTCGGAGTCGGGCGGGGTCACCAGCAGGCTCGGCGCCTTCCTCAGCGAGCGATGCTCGAGAACTTCCGACGCCTTCCGCCCGCTCTCCTGGCGGCAGCTGCCTGCCGCATCCGTGGAGGCTGCGCAGGGGCACGGCACCGTGCCCCGTGGTACAGTCGAACCTGGGACAGAAAACAACCTTCAGAACCACGAGACACCGCGCCAGCCAAAACATACAGAACGTCCTAGGGTAATTGCCCTCCCCAGGATGCACAAGAGCATCCCGCAAACACGAAGAGCATTAGGGTACTTCGGTCCGACTGTGGGAGAAGGATGTGCTCCGAACTCCCGCCCGCTCGGGAGGCACTGCTTTCTCTGACGCCACGGAAGAGGGGTGGGCCTCGCTGGGCTCGGCTCCTCGCGGTGCCCCTGCCTGCCGCTGCTGCTTCCTTCGACGCCCCATGGCCATGAGTCGTAAGTTGGGGAGCGAACAGGAAAAAGAGCGCGCCAAAGCCAATGAAGGGAGGAGAAACCATCCAGACCCCGACAATTGTCGTGTACTAGACGGCCCTGGACGTTTACTAAACAGCCCTGCCCTGTTCGATGCCTTCCTTGGGTGCGTTTACTAAACGGCTGCGCTTGTCGGGGTGCTCATTTTAGGGGTTGGGGGTGGATGTTTTGCCCTCGACCCAAGAGGGCCAGGCTGGCCCGCAGGGCCCAGGAATTTCAACCGCTGCAGGACCGGGCGCCCAGGTCAGGTCCAGCCCTAGACTGCGGCAACCAACGGGCACATGCATGCGATGCCCTGGGCGCCCGACGCACCAGGCGCCGGGTGGGGGAAGGAAGAGAAACGCAGAGAGATGCGCGATCGGAGGGCGCTTTGGGCCGCATCAGGGGTAAACTAATACATGATCATAAGCATCTGCGTAATCATATACTTTCGTGGGTCCGCGCGGTTTCCTTGGACCGACACAGGAAAATCTTCCCTGCCGCGGGGCGCGCCAATCGAAGAATCGGAGTACCCAGCGCCGATCGAAGAAATCACAACGGACCTCTCCGAAAAACAATGCCAGTGCAGAGTTGTCCTCGTCGAAAGAATGAGGATCAACGTTGGTGTTGCCAGCCCCCTCGCTTGAGGCTGCCAACAGCAAGGGCGAGGTGTCCCCGCCAGGGCCAGCAGCGGCACGAACGCCGACGACGCCTCCAGCACGGGCCTAGCATGGCGTGAACTCTGGGGCACGGCGTCGGCAGCGCAAGCCGGGCTGGAAAGGAGGAAGAGGAGGAGTGCAAGTACCCCAAGAGGAAGAGACGAGGGCAGGCGGGCACGAAGCGAGACGAGGGCAAAATGACCGTCCGCTCCAAGCCGACCGCCCGCGACTACTTCCAAAGCAGAGCTTTGGCGGCGCTCAACCCCTTCAGCAATTGTGGCTGGGGTCGGCGCGGCGTGCTTCATTTTGTTATAGAAATGGAGAGCGAGCACAATCCGCTGAATCGTCCGCGTCAACGAGAGCTCGTTCGCGGGTTCGGACGGATATGCTGCCGCGGGGCCCAGGCCCCAGTGTGTAAGCGTGCTGCGGAGGGGGAGCGAGTCAGGAGACCAGAGGAGGCTCAGGAGGACCGAGCAGGAGAGGTAGTGGGGAAATGAATCGGGTGCATCGGGGCACCCAAATACACACGACTTCTGCTGGAGAACGTGCATTCGATGGGTCGTAGTCCAAGCGCCTGCGAGTGTCTTGTACACCGCCCAGCGCCAGCTCGGGCGGACAGTGCGCATGGCATCCGTGAGAGCAGCCCAGCGGGTCGCGAGCTCAGGGGGTGGAGGCGGCTGAGGAACTCCCCAGGCTGCGATGCGCTTCGCAAGCGTGACCGTGAATGGCGATGAGAGGGAGGCCCGCTGCAGAGTGAGCGCAATCGCACGCTGTACCTTGGGGTGGCGCGGTGGCTCAGCACTCGGGGCCTCACGAATTTCGCGGGCAGCTGCACGGATCGCCGCTGTCACGGCTGCTGCTGGGAAAGGAGCGGCACTCTTGCCGCACGCAAGTGCATGGTAGAATTGAACGATGGCCGTGGGTTCTTCCCAAAAATGTGGGGACCACTGACCTTGGAGCCATCGATGGAAGCTGTGTGCTGTACTCTCCTCCCACGCAGTGTCCTGCAGGCGGGTGCGGAAAGATTCCCATTGCCCTCGGAGCGTGAGGGTGGCCGAGCGAATGGCGGCGGCAACTGTAGAAATCTGAGCGGAGCGGAAAGGAGGAAGAGGAGGAGGAGGAGGAGGAGGAGGAGGAGGAGGAGGAGGAGGAGGAGGAGGAGGGGCCAACCTGGAGCATAAGGCTTTCCTCGGTGCAGTCGCGGAGGGCGCCCGCTCCTCGCAGGAGGAGATCCCCGACATGTCTGCGCACGGCCTGGGCAGTATGCTGCTCCTGGGCCGCGCTTCTTTTGTACAGCTCCCATGGCTACGACGGATGGCGCGCGGCAGGACTTCAGGGAGGGCCCCTGCGACTGGCAGGCCCGAGCGTTGTGGCAACGCTGTTGTGTTGCTATCCTCCTACTGCTCCCGTTGCAAAAGGAAAACCAAAATCTGGCATCGAGCACAACACAGGGAACGATCCTGCCTCAGGTAATTTCCCGCATGCCTGTCGATAAAACCCTGTGGAGCTCGGTTCGCAGACGCCTGCAGCAAATACTGAAAACAACCCTCGCTACTGCTCCTCCTCCGCCTCCTCCCTCCTCCTCCTCCTCCCCCTCCTCCTCCTCCACCCTCCTCCTCCTTCCTCCTCCTCCTCCGCCTCCTCCTTCTCCCTCGAGCCTCGACGACGACGACGACGATGACCGAGCGCCCCTGGCGGGGTGCAGCACGGTGCGGCCGTCCGCGCAGAGCACCAGAGGCGTGCACCGGTCGCAGTCGACAACGTCGCCACGGTGGACCAGGAGGGACACGCCTGCGCTTTGCTGGGGGCGGGGGGCTCCCGGGCGAGGGAAGGCGACCGGGGGAAGAAAGGGAGAGAGACGGAGAGGGGGAAGAGAGAGAGAGAGAGAAAGACAAGGTGATGTATGAAATCGCGGCTTTCATATCGACATACATGCATGTGATAGGGAGATGATTATGAACTTGTGTATGTATGTGTATCCGGATGCATGCAACAACGTCCACACACTTAAATATGCAGACACATCTATGGATACATCGCGTGGTGAGTGTGCATGCGTGCTCACACGCTGCAAATTTATATATGCATATAATTATCTGGTCGCCCCCCCTGTGATCATACATCTCCGTCTTCCGTGTTCGCTCTCTCCCTCTCTCCTTCTCTCTCGCTCTATCCCTCTCTCTCGTTTTGTTGTTCTCTCTTTGCGTTTGTCTCTCGCGCTCTCTGTGATTGTCTGCTGCTGTCTTCGACTGTTTGTCTTTCGCGCTCTCTGTGATTGTGTTTGAGCTTTTCCAGCTTTTCCTAAAGATTACCCTGGTGAAAAACCTTGTGTTTTCCAGCTTTTCCAGCTTTTCCAGCTTTTCCCAGAGACTACCCTGGTGAAAAACCTTATGTTTTCCAGCTTTTCCAGCTTTTCCCAGAGACTACCCTGGTGAAAAACCTTGTGTTTTCCAGCTTGTCCAGCTTTTCCAGCTTTTCCCAGAGACTACCCTGGTGAAAAACCTTGTGTTTTCTAGCTTTTCCAGCTTTTCCAGCTTTTCCCAGAGATTACCCTGGTGAAAAACATTGTGTTTTTCAGCTTTTCCAGCTTTTCCCAGAGACTACCCTGGTGAAAAACATTGTGTGTTTCCAGATGTTCCAGCTTTTCCCAGAGACTACCCTGATAAAGAGGTGTTTCACCAGGGTAGTCTCTGGGGAAAACTGGAAAAGGTAGAAAACACAAGGTTTTTCACCAAGGTAGTCTCTGGGAAAAAACTGGAAAAGCTGGAAAACTCAAAGTTTTTCACCAGGGTAGTCTCTGGGAAAAGCTGGAAAAGCTGGAAAAGCTGGAAACCACAAGGTTTTTCACCAGGGTAGTCTCTGGGAAAAATTGGAAAAGCTGGAAAAGCTGGAAAACACAATGTTTTTCACCATGGTAATCTCTGGGAAAAGCTAGAAAAGCTGGAAAAGCTGGAAAACACAATGTTTTTCATCAGGGTAGTCTCTGGGAAAAGCTGGAAAAGCTGGAAAAGCTGGAAAACACAAGGTTTTCGCTAAGGATACCTCTGGGGGTAGCTGGAAAAGTTGGAAACATGACAGATCCCCATGTGTTGCTTGCGACAAAGCTGGAACACGTAGAATGTCATATGGGAAGCACATTTGCTAGCGAGGAGGCGGTGCAAGTTCTCAAGTCGGTGGTAGCATCACTGATGTTGAGCCGTTGCTGGTGTCCTTGCGTAACAGGCGTCCGACCATGTGGCCTTGTGTTCGGGCACAGTGATGGTAACCCGTTTTTGGGGTTCCCTCCTGGGCCCGCGTCCGCCACAGAGGGGCATCCTTTTTTGAATGCCCCTCCAGAGTAGCGCCGTGGAAGTGCTTTGCAGTGTCGAAGACTTGGTTTGTGTATGAACATGTGGGGAGGAGACAGGTTGAAAGGAGAGGGTGGGGAGGGAGAGGGGGAGGATGAGGAGGAGGAGGAGGAGGAGATGAGGATGATGATGATGACGAGGAGGAGGAGGAAGAGGAGGAGGAGGAGGAGGAGGGGAGGAAAAGGGGGAGGATGAGGAGGAGGAGGACGACGACGACGACGACGATGAGGATGATGATGAGGAGGACGACGACGAGGAGGATGAGAAAGAAGGCGAAATGTATGATCACAGGGGGGGCGAGCAATTATATATATAATATGTATACATATCGGTAAATGTGTGCATGATCGTACGCATGTATGCATGAGGGCGTGCATGTATGTGTATGTGTGTATGGTGTTTCGTGTATGCATGCACGCATGCACGCATGGATGTATGTATGTATGCATACGGATGTATGCACGTGGGTATGCATGCATGTACAGATGTATGCATGTCTGCATGCATGTATCAATGCATGCATGAATGTGTGTACGCATGCATGTATGAATGCACGTGTATATGAATGGCTGTATGCATGCATGCATGTATGCATGCGTGTATCCAAACATGTATGCTTAGATATAGGTGGTTGGGCAGGTACGTATGTATGTGTGTATGCATGCATTGTCTGCATGGGTGCATACACGTACTTAGATGGATGTATGTACGTACAGACAAATAAACACACGTATATGTCTGTATCAACAATTGTACATATGATATCCGCCACCGTACCGCGAGACACTAAGCGGAGTGCCCTCAGGTCCCACTTCAAAGTGAACGCCACCCAGAGTTCTGGGCGCTTCTGGGCGCTCTCCAGGGTTCCCGTGCCCCCGCGTGACTTCTCCCGAGGCAAATGGGCCCCAGTCGGGCCAAGAAGGCCCCAAGAGGGTCCAATAGGCCTCCGAGACGGCCAACGAGGGCGCCAAGAAACATAAGATGGTCTAACGACCGCAAAAGAGGCCACCAAGACGTCGCATGAGCGATCCAAGGGAATCCCCCAGAAGGCACCATTGAGCGAAATTCGTTGATGTTACTAGAAAGTTTTGGAGCGAATTGAGCGTTCTCGCCTTTTCGGGCATCTCAAGCTCCAAGACAACCTGACAAGCCCCCAGGATCGCTCCAAGATGCCTCATGAGGCCCCCAAGAGAACCGCAAGACGGCCCAAGAGGGCCCGAAGAAGTCCCAGGAAAGAGCACGGTGTATTTTCCACAGGCCCAAGAGCGAGGCTCTAATAAACCTCCAGGAGGCCCTCAAGAGGCTCCCTAAGAGGGCCCCAAGATGCTCCCCAAGCGGCTCCAGAGAGCCCTCCTTGGTTGGGCCCCCGAGAGGCATCTCAAGAGACTCCCATGTGCATCCGATAAACCTCTCGCCCACAACCCAGGCACGGTGGCGGGATGCGCCGAAGGCCACCACATGGTACTAGATATACAGAGAAGAGGAGGAGACAGAGTGTTGCGTTGTTGGAGGGCCAATGGAAAAGGAGGGAAACAGAAAGACATCGATAAGGATGTGGGTAGGACAAGGAGTCAGCGAGGGAGGGCGAGAAGGAGGGGAAAGACAAAGAGAGAGAGAGAGACAGAGCGAGAGAGAGAGAGAGAGAAACAAATAGAGAAAGAGACAGCGAGAGAGTGAGAGAGAGAGAGAGAACTAGACAGAAAAGGAGAGAGACAGAGACAGAGACAATAGGGAGAGATATAGCCAGAGAGAAATGGACGGGGCGCGTAGGCATGCCGCTCGCCCGCGGGCGCGATGCCCCTGGAATCCACAAAAGTCTCCAGAGGTATCGCGAGATTTCGGGACCCTCTGGAAACGGGCGCCTTCACGGGGCCTCGTGGGCACCACTGTGCGGACCCCAACCGAGCCAAGGTCTTCCGCGGCGACGGCACAACCGATAAGCGACCGCATCGACAACGAAACCGGGACAACCCAGACGGGCGCAGCGACGCAACAACGACGCAACAACCGACCGAACCCAACCGACGAAAGAGCGCTGCCTACCGCTGCTGGCTGGGGGGGTTCTGCCCCCCCCCCCCCCCCCCTCAAAACCAGGTACCAAATGTGACGATCCCGACCGCCCCTCCAGAAAAAATGAGCGGACGGGTCCGGAACCACACCCCGCCCAGGGAAAAATAATGGGAGGAGTCCAGAATCCCCACCAAAACCCCTGCACAGGGTCTGGACCCACCCCTCTGGGAAATGTATATTGGGAGGTCCGCAAGCCCCCTTCTCCGGCGACGACGACGACGACGACAACGACAACGACAACAACGACGACAACGATGACGACAACGCCGACAACGACGACACCGACGACGAGGACGATGACAAAGACGAAAACGACGACGGAAACGACGACGAAAACGACGACGACGACGCCGACGCCGACGCCGACGACGCTGCCGACGACGACGACGACGGCGACGGCGACGACGACAACGACAAAGACGCCGACGCCGACGACGACGACGCTGACGACGACGCCGACGACGACGACGCACGACGCACAGCGCACAGCGCACGACCCACAACGACGACGACGACGACGACGCTGGCGCTGCCTCCGACGCGGCCTCCGACGCTGACGACGACGACGACGACAACGCTAACGACGACAATGACGACGACGATGACGACGACGACGACAACGACAACGACGAAGACAACGACGACGACCACGACGACGACGACGCCGACCACTCTCATGCGCAAGAGGGGGAAGAGGAAGGGGGGGAGGGGGAGGAGGAGGGGGAGGAGGAGGAGGAGGAGGAGGAGGAGGAGGAAGGGAGGAGGAGGAGGAGAAAGAGGAGGAGGAGGAGGAAGAAAAAGTGGGTGGGGCGGGAGCCGCTTGGATTACTTGAGCGACCACCGCCGGCGCCGTCGCGACAAACAAACAGAATTGCGACCACCCCCCGCGCCGTTGCGACAAACATTTAAGGTTTTCAAGCCCCGCAGGCGCCGTCACGACAAAAAGTTAGGCCACTAAACATTGGAACGTCCGCCGGCGGCACTGCGACATAAAGTTGGCATTGCCCGAGCCTCAGAAGCAGACAACTCGCGCGATCACTTTGAACTTGTCGATTTTGGTCTGCACCTCACGGGCCAGAGACCCGCCGGCCTCCTGCCCTTGCTTCTCCCCGCCGCCAATGGCGACCAGGCGCGCGACGACGGCGCGGAGGACGGGCTTGATCTCTGGCGCGACGACCATGTGCAACTGCGCCGAATGCTCATCGAACGATTTGCAGAACTTGCACCGAAAAACTGTGCCAATCAACTCGTTCGGGTTGCTGATGGCAGTCTGATTGGCGAGAACTGTGTCCAAGGCCTTTGTGGGCGCTCGCAACTCTCGTCGGTCGCAATGGCGCTCGCGACGCGGCGCCGCAACAAGGTCTGCTTCGGGCC